TCTTGGCTTAGGGCACCCTCTGTGTTCTCATCTTGCGATCGGTCTGATAAACCATCACTGCTCGCTTCCGCTGCCGATGTTGGCGTGTCAGTGGTAGCGGAGCCCGTGGATCGATTCCCGCGGGCTCGCTGCTGGCGCGACTGATGTCCGCGCACAGTAACCGCAGTGGGCGAGGAAACAGTGGTGGAGTTTGAAGACCGGTTGGAGCAGGATCGGAGACAAAGGACAGCGCCCCCAGCCCGAGTGAGAGCGAGGGAGGAGGTTTTACGGAGCAGCAGCTAGCGACTCTGTTGAAGCTGATAGTAGAGAGCAGCCGTCACCAGTTCCAGGAGTTGAAGGACGAGCTGCGGAACCTTTCGCAGCAGGGAGCGAGCACGAGGCCGCCGGAGACCAAGACCGAGGCGGTCCACGAGACAGAGGGTGCGGGCCGGCACGCTCGCGACGACCCGTGGGCCCAGGACGACCCATGGGGCGGCCGGCAGGAGCCAGACGAGCAGCGAGCAGGGAAGCGGGAGCGAGGTACCTCGTGGGGAGGTACGCGCGAACCCTGGTGGCAGAGCTCCGACGGCAAGAGCCACGGCTACGACGGGGACAAGAAGGACGACGACGACGGGCAGTGGTCATGGAGAGGCCGCGACTGGAGCTCGTCCAGCTGGTCATGGCATGAGAGGTCCTGGTCCAATCCCGACTATTCGGACCCCGACCCGTGGATGGGGTGGGCGGATTTCCGCATCTGGCGCCGCAAGATCAAGCGCTGGCTCTCATCCACCGACGTGCCGATTCAGAAAAGATCCGACAAGTTGCTGAAGACGCTGGACTTAGAGCTCCAGCGCAAGATGGAGGACATCATATCAGTGACGACGTCCTGATGTCGAGCGCGGGCCCGGACATGATAGTGAAGCGGCTCGACACGATGAGCGGCAAGAGAGTTGATGATGAAGATCGCCGAGCAGCCCGAGAGTGTCACCACCCACCAAACCACCCCAACCCAACCAGAAGGCCTTAAATTGACCTCCATTTCCAGTGGGGGGGGGGGTCGGGGAACATCGAGAAAACACATATGGAACCCGTACCCCCCCCAACCCGAAATTCGGGTCTTCGGGTTGGGTTGGGGTGGCCTGGTAGGTAGTCAGAGTGTCTCTTCGGGTACCAGCGCAAGGCTGGAGAGACCTTGTCCATGTACGCCGCGCGCATGGAGCAGCAGTTCGATTTACTCCGTGCACAGGGACTTCCACTGCCGGACAAGTGGATGCACCTCTTCATGGAAGAGGGGGTGAACCTAGATGACAGTGGCAAGCAGATGCTACGAGTGCTCACGCGCGGCTCGGGTAAGTACGAGGACCTCCAGAACGCCATCAGAGAGCTCGATCTGTCCAAGACCGAATCTCTGTCCGGAGCCACTCGTGCTGCGCGCACGTACCTCGGCGAAGACATCGAGGAAGGCTCCGACACGTACCGCGGAGAGCAGGATGACGAGTCAGAGCTGTCCGTGGACACCGACATGGAGAACGAGATACTGCTGTGCATCGACTCGGCAGATATTGACGAAGACCAAGCACTTCTTGTTCTAGCAGAGCTCCAGCAGGAGCGAAAGAAGACGTGGAAAGAAAACAGAATGGTGAAGCGCCAGGTGAAGGTGGACCGGAAGTTCTACCCGCCGCCCTCTCATCCTGGCGGAGGCTCTCGACCAGAACGCCGACATGGGGGAGGAGACCTGCGTCAAGGAGGCGGCCGAAGCGGGAGCAGCGGCGGGGCTCCTCGCCCAAGGAGGGAGCGCCTCAGCATCGAACAACTGATGAAGGTCACCAGATGCAAGAAGTGCCGGAAGAAAGGGCACTGGTCCAGGGAATGCCCGGAGAACAAGCAGTCTTCGACCAACGGCTTCGTGTTCCTGAACGAGCCGTCCGCCGACGCTTCGGGGCTCGTCCTGGCCACCCCCAGCGACGTGGTCAAGCGCTGCGAGGAGGCCCTCCGCAGTCTCCCCGGCCGAGCGCCGACGGCCGCGGACATCTTCCTGACCACCGAGGGCGGCAAGATCATCGTGGACACTGCAGCGGCACAGGGCCTCATCGGCCCCCAGTCGCTGGCACTTCTAGAGAAAAAGGTTGAGTGAGTTAGGGTGCCAGGTAGTCCGCGTTAAGAGTAGTAACAGGTTTGCCCGGGGCGTTGGGGGGCACATCCCTGTCGAATCTGGCATCCTTGTCCCTCTCGGCCTGGAGGGCCGCGGAGGTGTCATGCAGATAGACCTCGTGAATCAAGAGCTCCCGGCACTCATTCCAGTGGGCATGCAAGAGATGCTGGGGGCGGTCGTCGATTTGCCCCGGGGCCGCGTCCAGTTCACTCAGCTGGGAGTTGAGACGCCACTAGAGAAGCTCCCGAGCGGCCACCGAGTAGTGAGTATCGATCGCTTAGGCCCTCCCGAAGAATTCAAGGTGCCCCCTGCTGTGGCGGCCAAGTACGACTTGAAGCCGGGAGCCTTTTGCCCTTCTCCCAAGTATAAGGTCCGACCCGATGCGACGAGCGACGGGGTTGTTTCGAGCGATTGCTGCGAGGGCCAGACCAAGGAGTCGGGGGGGCACAAGGGAATCAGCAAGCAGAGGAACCGCAAGACAGTCATCTCGGAGATCGGATCGGCATCTTCACCTTCGAAGTCCCGTACCTACGTAGCGGTTGCGTCGACTGGGCGGTGTGGCGGAACCAGGATCCCGGGATCAAATCAGGGAGGAGGAGATGGAGACAGGAGGTATAGTGGGGAGCCATGTTCCGGACAAGGCTGTCTGGAACATGGGCAGCTCCCAGAGGTTCTCGTCCAGACGTCGGACGGAGCTCGAAAAATTCACCAGTGTGGCGACACGCCCCGCACGTCCGGCTCAGAGCCCGATATTATCTTACGGGGCGCCACTCCATCGAGCAAGTACCTTTCAGGGGCCCTGTCAGGAAACCGCCGCTCCTCCGTAGCGATCGGCTCAAACAAGCTCTCAGCAGACGCCGACCACGACAACAGCACTACCGACTCGAGTATCCGACCTCACCCACCCGATGAGCTCCAAAGCGGACGGCCCTCAGGTCTGGATCGCGACGAATCAGTCGATCCCCGACACCATCACGAAGAGGGAGTTTCGCTGGGCAGTCCTGGCCAGCCGCTCGCTGATACGCGAGGAGACGCTCGGGGTCAACCTTCTGACGATGAGCGCCACGGGCCGTCTCTTCCCGCAGGACTGGCCCAGGAGAATGCGCATCATCGACTCGAGGCAGCTGGAGTGCCGTCATCCCTTCGACCAGGAGATGCTGCTGGGCAACCGCCATGCGAAGTGGCACAAGTGCGGCAGCTGCGCGCTGAGGCTGAGCTACGAGTCTACGCCCATCCTGAAGGGGGAGGCCAAGACGTCGCAGCAGTTTCCTCCGGTGACACGCCCGAGCGCTCGCAGAGCTCGCGGGGCAGCGAAGGGCATTCTCGAGTCCAGCATGGCGTCGACGAAGCCGGGGGCCGGAGCACCTTTCGCGCCGACGACGGTGAAAGGCTACCGCCCAGGCCCCCCGATGAAGGAGTACGAGCACATAGAGTTGAACGCTCTTCCACGGAGGCGCGGCCGGGCGCCCATGGAGCAGGCCGAGGAGGACGACCAGAAGGCGCAGCAGGACATGCTGAAGACCCAGGAGAAGATCTTGGAGATGCTCGGGCAGGTCCATGGGCAGGTGGCGACCCAGGGATCCGCCCTGGCGACCCAGCAGGAGGCCATCCAGCGCCTCCAGGCCCACGCCCAGAGCCACGCGCTGGCAATCGCGAACGCCACGACGGGGGCTTCGCAGGCCGCCGCGGCTGCTGCCAGTTCGAGTGCGGCGGTGAACGGATGGCAGGACGTCTCGCACCTTTCACCAGCCGGGCAGATCCAGTGCGTCAAGACCTCGGCTCCCGACGGTCCGGTGACGCTCAATCTACCCTTTCCCGGCGTGACGCGCCAGTGGGTGGAGAAGGGCGAGATCTACTTCGAGACGGATCCCGGGACGCTCTTCCTGATCGGTCCGAACTTAGAGGCGGTGCCGGCGAAGCGCTTGAGCTAGGAACGACTCAATGCCTCGACTGGGACAGTCTGACCCGAGAGTTGAAGCTGGAGGGGCGCCAGGCCGCAGACATCCAGCGAGCCGCCGTCAATGAGCTGAGCGCAGACCCCAGTCAATTGTTTTATGTGCCATCTTGCTCCGACGAGCGAGGCCGAAGAGCGATGCAGGTAGCACAGAACACTACATGGATCACCCAAGGCCCCGACGGGGCCTACCAGACACATTCAAAGAGGTCGCTCGACGGAGAATGGCATCTGACAATTCATTGCCCGGCGTGGCATGCCCTTCTCACCGAAGGAGCCGAGTTCAACGACGATTACGAATCGGCTTTTTCCAAGCATATGGCGAGGGATCTTGGGAAAATGATGGGGATCTGGGGCGAGCGGCAGGATTGGGAATATCCGGTGAACAACAACTTCCAGACCCCGGAGCTTATCCAGGATGCCGAGAGCTTCGAGGCTCAGGGTCCGACGCTTCACCAGAGCCGCCCCACGACGTTCCTTCCACCGACGATGTCAGACCCCCGTCGCCTCTCTCTTCGACGCGCCAGCAGGAGGGGCCTTTGTCGTTTCCAGTCCGTCTGTCGAATCGAGGACTCAAGCGGAGAAGGAAGGAGCTCTTTGACCGAGGTTTCATGGAGGTTTTCTCTCCACCTAGGTTGGCCCCGTCTCTGGAAAAACAGGGGATCAGGTCCCAGGGAAGTCTGGACTTGCAGACTGGCTGGGATTTCACCCAGGCCTCTCACAGAGCCAAGACCCTGGCCCTGGTCCGAGAGAAACGGCCCGATATTTTGATGTTGTGCCCACCCTGAGCACCTCTTAGAGGGAGGTTTGTACACTCGGCGATCCCAGGTCTATTCCCCAGAGTTCGTGAAGCATCTGACGCATGTGTTTCGGAAGACCCTGGGGTCTAGGGGGGCCGAGGCGAGAGTCTCGGACATGATTACCTGGACTCACCGTCGGTTGGGGTCCCGCGTCACTGGCCACGAGACCCTGGATCTCGAACCCTGGTCGTTTGCGGTTTCGTCCCTGGAAGCCGTTGAGGAGGAAGGAGACGCCGAGATGCAAGAGGCTGAGGATCCGGGAGGACCCGTTGATGATGCTGGGGAGGAGGAGGGCGCCCGCGCCGGCGAGGTCGACACCGGCACGGCGGCCGAGCCTCCGCTCGAAGTGGATGCGAGGGTGAGGGGTTTAGTCCAGGAGGTGCATGTCAATTTAGGACACCCCCGCGTCCCCCTGTTCCTTCGTATTCTCCGAGCGGCCCACGCCAAGAAAGAGATCTTGGACTATGTGAAATCGGAGTTCGTGTGCCCTGATTGCGCCGCACATCCCCGACCCGCCTCAAGAAGGCAAGTAGCGACGCCACATACTTTCCAATTCAATCGAGTGGTCGGCGTGGACACCTTTTTCGTGTCGTTCGAGGGTCGCTCGATCGCCTTCCTCAACTGTATCGACCACGGTACCAATTATCAAGTTGTTGCTCGGTACGAGGGGGGGCGGCCGGGGCGCGGGCTTGCTTTGTCGCATGTTGGCTTCGATACTTCGGCCCACCCGAGCTCCTTGTCAGCGACGGCGGGCCCGAGTTCCAAGGGGAATTCTCCATGGGCCTGGAACAACACGGGGTGTACCAACACATCGCGAGCGCCGAGGCGCCGTGGGAGAACGGCCGCTGCGAGTGGCACGGGGGTTGGGTGAAGGACCTCATGGTCAAAGGGGCTGAGGAGTCCATGATAGCGTCCGAAAAGGATCTCGAGACTCTGGCGTACGAAGTGGTTTCCGGGAAAAATAATTACCTCCACCGGGGGGGGTTCTCCCCGAACCAACTCGTTTTTGGTCGCAATCCAAGAATGCCGCATGACATTCTTTCTGACGGCGGGGTGAATCAGGTCGGACTCGACGACCCCGCCGAGAGCTCTTGGGATCAAGACACGGCCGCCGCTGATTTCTCGAGATCGATGGCGATTCGCAGGTATGCCAGGTCCCGTCTCTTCGAGACTTCGAGTAGGAACCGCCTCCGCGAGGCGGCTGGCGCTCCTCGGCATCGGGATCAAAAATACGCTCCAGGAGACTGGGTGTACGTGTGGAGGAGAGCCCCCAGGACGGGAAAAACATGCGGCCTCCAGCGTGACCGCTGGACAGGACCGGGCATGGTGATATATCGATACAACAATGCCGCCTGGGTCAGCATGAGGCCCAGACTCTGGAAGTGCGCTTCCGAGCAACTCCGGCCCGCCACGGGCCCAGAGGCCCGAGGGGCCGAACTCCTGAGCGATCCGGGGGTGTCCGAATTGGTGCGACAGGTCCAGTCTGGAACTCAGCGTGCGGGAGTGGGCCCGAGAGGGCCCACCGCCTCCGGAGGCCTGGGAGGCTCCCGTGGAGCCCATCACTCAGGACTCGAGCGTCCGACTGCCAGCTATGCCCTCTGTCAGGCAGCTTCCTCCGACTGCAGCGCCCGGCCACCTCGCCGGTCCGGGCAGCCAGCCAGGCGCGGTGCAACAACCTCGTGACGGTGCGCCCGATGGACTGCTACGACAGGGCGTGGCCCCGGGTGTTCCATCCGAGGGAGGTCCCGTTTCGGAGAGTCCCGGGTCCACGGCGGTCCCGGCTCCCGCGTCCAGGGCTGATTCTGAGGTCTCGGGGACGACCACTTTTCCCGGGAACGAAATCTTTCAAGCGGTCGGATCGACGGCCAGGGGTCCTCGGGATCTGGAGCGCAGGCCTCGGCCTGGAGGTTCGGTACGGGAGGGCCCGGTCCGACAGGCTTCCGCGGCGGCCGTCGGCGACGCCTCTCTGGGGTCAAGCAGAGACGAGGATCCGGATCAAATTGTCAAAGAGTCGAAGAGCGGTGATTCTGAACGAGCAGCTTGACTTCGGCACGGCCCGGGCTACCAGGAGGAGAGCCGAACCGGTTCGATCTGTCCCCGAGGGTCCCAGGGATGAACGTCTCGCTCGTTTCAGAGACCGTCTGCACAGGCTTCCCGTTCCCGTCGAGCTGGATCAGATGCGGGAAGGGAGAGTCGGTCGTGTCGTCGCCGCCTGGGAAGGAATCGATGGCAGAGGTCCTCGGGGCCGGTCCCGAAGTCCAGGAGCGGCACCGGACTCGAGTAGCAGCCAGTTCAGGAAGCCATGGAAACCGACTCGGGTTTGTGCCTTTTCTCTCTCTCGTCGCCTGAGCTGGATTCGTATTTCGATTCTGTGAACGAGGGTTTGTGGGGCCGCGGCTGGAGCGGGGACTGGGCGACTTTCGTGGCCGGGGACGCCGACGTTGAGCTGGTTCCCGGCGAAGGGGAAGAGGAGGCAGGCACCCTCGCTCTTGCCACGTCCAGAGGAGGGGAGATCTCTCTTAAGAAGCTCTCAGAGAGTGAGGCCGAAGAGTTCGCTGAGGCTGACGCTAAAGAATGGAGGAATATCTCTGGGGCCGGGGCCGTCAAGGTCCATCCGCCGGATGAAGGGAAGCGCCTCAGACGAGCCTTTCCGTCGCGGGTCGTTTCGTCTAGGATGGTGCGGAGATGGAAACCACAGGAAGGGGTTTTCTCTCGACCGGTGGCGAAATCTAGGTGGTGTGTCAGAGGCCACGAGGACGCCGACACCCACGAGTTACGGATCTACGCACCCACGCCCCAGATGGAAGCGCTTATGTTCTTCCTGGCCACCTCCATCGCTCTGGGTCACGATCTCATGATCGGTGATCTCAAGAACGCGTTCTGTCAGTCAGACCCTCTACGACGACCGCGTGTACGTGTGTTCGTAGAACGCTGTGAGGGTCAGAATCTCCCCTCGGGCAGCCTTATAGAATTAATAGCACCAGTGTACGGTCTGGACGACGCGCCGCTAGCGCTACACCATACGACAGTGCGATTCTTTGAAAGCCTGGGATATGTTAAGACCAAACTGGGACCCTGTTGGATGGTGAGGCGCTCCAAGGACGGTCCCGACGCCATGGTACTTATAGAAGTAGACGACTGGGCTATATATACGGCACCGGGGGTACAGCAAGCTCAGTTAGATTTATTTAAGAAGAGGTTTACCTTTGGAAAGCTGCGGACTGTAGACAGTACGGGAGTGGATTATATTGGGAGGAGGGTGCGTCGTTTACACGACAGGGTGCTGGTGGATCAGGAGAAATATATCCTCGAACAGATAAAGCGGTTACATGTTCCACGCGAGCAGCGGTCCCGACACGAGCTGCCCCTGCTAGGTCCACAAGTAAACGAGTTCAGGTCCCTCATATATCGACTGAACTGGGTGGGGGGGGGGACGCGTCCGGAAGCCAGTGGGACAGCCTCTCTGTTAGTTAGCGAGGTAAATTGCCCCACCGTGGGGGACGCCCTAGTGGCGAACAAGATGGTGGGCTACTTACGGAGCTCTGCCAGCCTACCTATCACGATATGGAAGCACAAGGTTGGGAGGATTGTGTTTGCGACTGCGTCGGACTGTGGGGGGGTTGGTGCTAAGTCCGGGGAGCGTCCGCAACAAGCATGGCAGGTCTTACGTGGCAGACGACAGCATAGCGTCCGGGGAGAGATCCAGGGTATCGCCACTGTCGTGGCGTTCGTGCAGGATTCGGAGACAGGTGCCGTCCACTTTGGCCGGAGAAGTGCAGTCCCTGAGCGCTGCCCTTGCGGAGGCAGAATGGATGCAGCTACTGTTTCAGGACGCGGTTTTCGGCACGGTTATAGACGAGTGTTGGCAAGACAAAGTAGGCCCATTTGCATCCCTGCTGAGAAAAGATTGCGCCCTTAACGCCCAACCCAGCAACAACCTGGCCATCGTCGATGCCAAGGGTATTTTCGACACTCTGGACCGGGACACCGGGGGCTCCAAAAACGACCGACGGGTGGCGATTGATTTATCGGTGTGCCGGGAGAGTTTATCGCGTCTCGGGGGAACCAGAACCATCCGGTGGATGCCCCACCCCTTCATGCCCGTGGATGTCATGACAAAAGCAGATGTGAGTAAGGGGAACGCCGCACAGCTCCAGCTCCTCAAGACCGGCATGATGCGGCTTACGGCAGAGAAGGACTCCCTCTCTCACCGCCGTCAGGACCCGTCATCCAAGGCCAGGTCCCGAGCAGCGTCGTCTCGTCAGCTCTCGTCGCCGTCGTCGTCGGTGCCGCGATCGACCGAAGGGAGGAAGGGGGACTGACTTTTTGCACGTTTCACTTGTATGCCTCTCGCGAGGCCGCACTGGTCAGCTCGTGTTTCTATGCCAGGCCCTCTCTTTGTGAGCTCGTGTATAGTTTTAAGCTCACTGAAGTTGGGCCGGCTGAGGAATTCACCTGTGTGAGCTTAAACTATGTTGATTTCAGCGTGTATGTGTGCCCGTAATCATCTTGGCTTAGGGCACCCTCTGTGTTCTCATCTTGCGATCGGTCTGATAAACCATCACTGCTCGCTTCCGCTGCCGATGTTGGCGTGTCACAGCGGGGACTGCCTGTGCAAGCCATTTAGGACAATTGGATTTTCCCTTACTTTCCTTCCTCTTCCCGCCACGCACCTCAGTTCTTTGCCTCTCCCTCTTCTGCATCCCCCTCGCCTCCCTTCCCCCCGTGTTCTCCCCTCCCCGTTCTCCCCCTTCCCAACCCAACGTGTTACAGTCGCTGAGATCTCCTATTCCCAGAGAGTCCAGGATGACGCAGGAGGCGAGTAGGAGAAAGAAAACGGGGAGAAGGAGGAGAAGGAGGAGGAGCGGGAGGGGGGACGAGGAGCAATGTAGCCTTCCTGCCCCTCCCTCCCCCTCCACGCCCTCTTCCTCGTCTCCCTTTCCTAGCCTCGTGCTCTCCTGTTCCTGAACCCTCCTTATCTTCTACCTTCACTGCAGATGAGTCCTCCGCCTCTTCCTCCTTCTGGTTTCGCCTGCCTTAACGTTCCTCTCAATCTCCTCTTCCTCTCCCTGCTTCTCTCTCCTCCCCAGTGGCGGGCTCGGGCTGCAATGTGTTGGAAAGGGAAGGAGGGTGTTCCGTCGCTTCTCTTTAATCTTTCGCCATATGCAAGGTTGATTGATACCCCGTGGTCAAGCTACATCGGGCAATAGTGACCTTCGTAGTGGTGGGATGGCGCAGGTGGCGCCCCCCTGATCGGGCTCCACGCGGATGCTATGGCCGAGACCACCGATAGGTTTCTCGCTTCTTGCTTCGTTTGGCTCCTCGTTATCGTCGCCCTGACATAGTCTTCCCCATCGGGTCCTTCTCCTCACGATTTTGATCTACGATGTCGTCGTCGTTGTGGTCTTCATCTGCTTTCTTCCTTCCTTCGATATCCAGAATTATACTGAGCTGGCGGATGTTGAGGATGGGGGACGGTAGGATACGTAGTGGAAGGCGGAATATGAGGTTGCACATAGGGGGGTGAATGGCAAAAATACTCACCGACATACGCACACACATACATGTAGGTGTGTGTATATATATACCGATATATACCGAGTCGTTTACATATATACATATTTATAGACATATATAGACATATATCATGCATACACACATCCGTATGCACATGCACATACACAAACACATTCACACACATACATACCCGCATACCCATGCATTTACACATGCATATACATATACATGTACACATGCACATAGTCATACTCATAAATGTACACATGCATCTACATATGCATACACATAGACATATGCATGCACATATATAGATACATATCCCGATGCATATACATACACATATACATACGCACGTACATATACACAAGCTCATACTCTTACGTCCACGTATGCATATATATATACATATATACATATATACATATATACATATATACATATATATATGCATCTCCACAAACATATGCGTATACATATAGAAGTCTTAGTTGTATATACATGTACACATACATGTATATATATATATGTATAGATGTACATTTGCTTATCCACACACATAAACATATACATATACATCTCCAGTTGCCTACTCATGTTCATATGCGTATCCAGGTCCATATTTCAATGCGTATACGTCTACAAGTACACATCCACATGCACATATACATGCAGAGACATATACATATACCGACATATGTACACATACATATACATATACATATGCAAATACATATACGTATACGTATACACACATTCATAGACATAGGCATGCATACATACATTCACTTGCACCCATAATGTACACACATTTTCAGATACATGTGCACATCCATTTGAACATACATGTACATATACATATACAACTATATACCCATACGCACATTTATCCACATATTCACATACATTTACATACACATCTACATGCACATCTACATTTTCATATCCGCATACACATGTATACACATATACACATACATTTTCATATACACATTTAGATGCGTATTCATATACATCCTTATACACATACACATAAACACATACATATACATATACATATACACATGAACATACATGCCACTATACATATACTTTACATGCACATATACAAACACATATACATCAACATACACATAAACATACATACATGCTTACATCTATGTATATGCATATGTATATGTATATGTTGATGTATACCTATAGGTATAGGTATAGGTATATATATATGTAGATGTGTGTACACACATACATATGTATGCAAGCATACATACATACATATATATATATATATATATATATATATATATATATATATATATTATATTTATTTATTTATATATATATATATATATATATATATCAAATATTTATATATATGTATACATACGTACATATACACATATCAAGATATCGGAGGTTGGGGGGTGGTGAGATCGAAGTGGAACGGAGAGCCCCCCACCGGGAAATCGGTTTCGGTTTCGTGTTCGTGCGTGCCGTGCGTGCGGGCGAGGCGAAGCTGCGTGGGCGGGCGAGAGGAAAGTCTCCTGTGGCTGAGGCGCCGCCGGACCAAATTATTCTCCCTCCGGCAAGCGGTGGCCCGCGGTGTCCCGCCGGTGTCCCGCCGGTGTCCCGCTTGTGGCTGGGCCCTGGCCGGACCAAATGATTCTCCCTCCGGCATGCGGTGGCCCGCGGTGTCCCGCCGGTGTCCCGCCGGTGTCCCGCCGGTGTCCTGCCGGTGTCCCTGTGTCCCGCTGGTGCGAAAACGATAGTGAGACCGATGACGAAATCGATTGTGAGATCGATAGTGAGATCGATAGTGAGACCGATAGTGAGATCGATCGTGAGATCGATAGTGAGATCGATAGTGGGATCGATCGTGGGATCGATAGTGTTGCCCATTGCTGGCCCCCCTCCCCCCCCAACCTCCTTATCACCCGCAGGGTGGTCGTATAGGTGTGTGTGTGTATATATATATATATATATATATATATATATATATGGTCGCCCCCCCCTGTGATCATCCATCCTCGTCCTCTGCCTCTTCTTCCTCCACATCCTCCTCCTCCTATGATCGCGCCGCCTCCTCCTCGTCATCCTCCTCTCCTCTTGTTTCTCTCTCTCTCTCTCTCTCTCTCTTCCTTTCTCTTTCTCTCTCTTTCTCTCTCTCTCTGTCGATATCCCATTCTCGGGACACTTGCCGTTGTAAAACGCTGTGTTGTCCAGATTTTCCAGATATTCCAGATCTCCCCAGAAATTGCCCTGGTGAAAAACCATGCTTTTTCCAGATTTTCCAGAGTTTCCCGATCTCCCCAGAGACTACCCTGGTGAAAAACCATGCGTGATCCAGATTTTCCAAATTTTCCAAAGCTCCCCAGAGACTACCCTGGAGAAAAACCCGGTGTTTTCCAGATTTTCCAGATTTTCCAGATCTCCCCAGAAACTACCCTGGTGAAAAACCCAGTGTTTTCCAGATTCTCCATAATATTTGGAAATTTGACAAACACATGGTTTTTCACCAGGGTAGTCTGGGGAGATCTGGAATATCTGGGAAATCTGGAAAACACATGGTTTTTCACCAGGGCAGTTTCTGGGGAGATCTGGAATATTTGGAACATCTGGAAAACACAGCGTTCTGCAACGGCAAGTGTCCCGATATTGGGAAATCGACAGAAAGAAAGAGAGAGAAAGAAGGAGGAAGAGAGAGGGAGGAGCAGGAGGAGGAGGCTAGCCCCCCCAACATTATGGTAGTGGTGGCGGAAAACAAGCCCATCATCTCCTGTCTTGGTGCGGTCCAGGACTTCCTTGAGCGTGGGGGGGCGCCACTGGGGCTGAGCACACGCGAAGTGCAGCTCAAGCCGAGCAGACCCCCCCTGGTCGATCTAAGCCACGCCGCCCGTGATCGGGATCATGGCGCGGAGCAGGCTTGACTGGGACCGAGCTTGTGTTTTCTCTCTGTCTGTCCTCGAGAGAAGCTGTTCGACCTTCAACCTTCGAACGCCCCGCAAGGACCACAGTAAACAAAGTAAAACAAGTAATAATTGAAGCCGCCGTCGGCAGAGAGACAACGACAAGAAAAAGCCAAGAAACAACGACTACAGGGAATGAGCATGGAGGGAAAAGGGGGGGAGAGGATGGGGAGGGAGATAAGGAGGAGGAGGAGGAAGAGGAGGAGGAGGAGGACGGGCACGAGGAGGAGGACAGGGATGAGAACGAGGAGGAGGAGGAAGATCAGAAGGAGATGATTAGGGGAAAAGGAGAAGAAAGGATGTGGGGAGATGATGGGGAGGGAGAGGAGGAAGGTGAGGAGGTTGTTCGACCGTCAACCTTCGAACGCCCCGCAAGGACCACAGTAAACAAAGCAAACCAAGTAATATTGAAGCCGCCGTCGGCAGAGAGACAACGACAAGAAAAAGACACGAAGAGGGCAAGAGGGAACGGGCATGGAGGGAGGAGGAGGGGAGGGGATAGGGAGGGAGAGAAGGATGAAGAGGAGGAGGAGGAGGAGGAGGAAGAGGAGGAGGAGGAGGACGGGGACGAGGAGGAGGAGGAGGACAGGGAAGAGAACGAGGAGGAGGAGGAGGAGGAAAACCAGAAGGAGATGAATAGGGGAAACTAATAAGAAAGGATGTGGGGAGATAATGGGGAGGGAGAGGAGGATGATGAGGAAGAGGAGGAGGAGGACGACGACGACGCGGCCGAGGATGGGGAGAAGGATGATTAGGATGAGGAGAAAGAAGGCGACATGTATGATCACAGGGGGGGCGAGTTCTATATATATATATATGTATGTATGTATGTATGTATGTATGTATGTATGTATGTATGTATGTATGTATGTATGTATGTATGTATGTATGTATATACATATATATAGATATATAGATATATATATATATATATATAGATAGATAGATAGATAGATAGATAGATAGATATATAGATATAGGTCGGAGTAGGTCGTCGGGGGAGGGCCCAGAACCACGATCTCTGGTTTACATAGCGGCCCAGTTGGGCCTTGAGGGCTCCAGGAGGGCCCAGAAGGGACCCTGGACCCTCCCAGAGGCCCCCAAGCTGGCCCAAGAGGCGCCCAAAGCGCCCCAGGTTGCCTGGAAGATGGCTGACGAGCGCACTGCGATGGCCTCACGACGGCCCACGAGCGCTCCAAGACAGCCCAAAGCTGCTCTTCGACGGCCACAGACGCCTTCAAGACGGTCCAAGAGGCCGCCGAGAGGGGCCCCCCAAGGGCAAAAAACCAACATTTTACATGGAAAAGCGAATATTTTCGGTGTACCCTTTTTTTCAGTCCTAACCGCGGCCACGACGGCCCCAAAGGCCCCCCCAAATCGGCCCCAGACGGCCCAAGAGGGCCCCAAGACGGCCTGAAAAGAGCTTCAAGCAGTAAAGAGAGCTCAAGACGGCCCAAGAGAGTCCACAGGGAGCCCCGAGGGGGCCACCGGAGGATCCCAAGAGGGCCCCGAGACGGGCTCAGCCCCCCCTGTGACGGGCCAAGAGGGACCCGGCCCAGCCGAAAAGGGCCCCCCAGACAGGCCAGAGAAGGCCCCAAAGGACTCCCAAGGAGGGCCCGGAGAGTTCGTCGTCGCCGCCGCCGCCGCCGCCGCCGGACGCTGGCACGCGCTCCCTGGGCGCTCCCACACTCAGTCACGCGCAGAGGGGGGGTGGGGGGGAGGGGGGAGGGCTTCTTAGAATCGGGGGTGGACAGAACCCCCAACAGTGACACGTCGATTAGTGAATTGTCCGTTTTCGGTTCTAGAGAGGGCGCCGCGGCCGTTATTTTCCAGGCTTGCGCCCGCCAGGTTTGGGCCCGAGGTCGTTTTCACTAAATCACGTTTTACCAAAGGGAGGTCTGTCCATCCCCGACACATTCAGCCACGCGCAGAGGGGGGTGGGGCAAGCTAGGTGCGCTCGCGTCATATCTGACATCCTAACCCTCCCCCCCATCCCTTACCATGGCGCAGATCCCCTCTCTACTCGCTCAGTCGGATGTCGAGCAGGGCAATGATGGGTACGCGATGCATTGTAGAGCACGGCATGGCATGGCGTAGAAGAGCACCGCAAAGCGTAGTATCAACCTAGCATTGCAGTGCATGCCGTGGCATGGCACGGGAAATGACGCCAGCGCTGCAGCGGGAGCAGGAGTCGAAACGAGCGGAAGCGCGGAAATGAGGCCAGCGCTGCAGCGGGAGCACGATTCGGAACGAGCGGAAGCACGGAAATGAGGCCAGCGCTGCAGCGGGAGCACGATTCGGAACGAGCGGGGCCCGAAAATGAGGCCGGCGCCTCAGCGAGAGCAGCATTTTGAAACAAAATGCAGGCGAAAACCCAACTCCGGGGAAACCTGTGTGTAAAAACACAGTGCGCGGGGGGGGGGTCGGACACTCCCAGGCCGTCATCAGGGGAAGAGGGAGAGTAGTACTCATATTGAGTAATTGTGGAGGGGGGAGGGCTTCTTAGAAGCACCCCTGCTTCTTAGAAGGCGTGGGCCTTGTCTGTAGGTTCAAGGCCGGTGCCTTCTCAGAAGCAGCCTCCTTCTAAGAAGCCCTCCCCCCTCCCTCCATCCCCTTGTGCGCGCCGCCAGCACACGCTCCTGGCCTGGAGGTTGGTGTACCAGGCGTGGCCCTTGGGAGCCCAGAGGAGGAGTCTCCAATGCAGTTCGCGCCTTGACTGCGTGGATGTGTCAGGAGGTTTGCCTGTTTCTGATCCTTCCGCATCTTCCTGTGCACGGCTCCATGAGTCTCGCGACAACCTCCTACTCCTCATCCTTTTCACACTTTTTCCTCTCATGATTCCTCCTCGCTCCTCGTCTTGAATCCTCTTCCGTAAGTTTGTTTATTGAAGTCAATCACGGTCTCTTTGCCAATGGTGGGTCTTGCGTCACATTCACAGATCGGGCGATGCATCGGGCGTTGCAACCTGGCTGCTCTCGGACGTGACTCGCTGGGTCGACGCCGACCACGGTCTGTTCCACATTAGGCCTTCGCGACGGAAAACAAAAGGCAATGATATGCACATATGGGGATCTTCGCGTCAAGTAATTTTTCGCTCATGCTCGCCGCCGAAAGCCGGCCCTCAACAAAACCAGCGCTACTGATTGATCCCTCCTCGCTTTTTGCTCTGGTGTGGACCTTGGCGCCGCAAACCAGCCCCCCTACAGCAACAAAGGCTTCCGCTCGATTACTCCTCACTTCGTGCTCAGCTCTGGTGTTCCTGCTCGCCGCCGGAAACTGGCCCTCCAGCAAAGCCAGCGCTGCCGCTCGATATTTCCTCGCTTTTTGCCCAGGGGTGGCGCTCTCGCCTCGGCGCCGCAGACGGGCCCCCTTACCAGAGAAACAGCGCTCGCGCTCGGTGCACTCGTCTTGGCGTCGCCTCCTTATGAGGGCCTCTGGGCGGCCCCAAGAGGGCCCGAAGAGGTCCCAGCCAGGGCCGAAGAGGGCCCGGAAGATGGGCCCGAAAGGGGCACGGAAGGGGACCGTTTCCGACCCCCCCATTTGTGCGGGTCCAGGTCCGTCGGTTTCGGTCCCAGGCCGTTTTCACTCAGGGGAGGTTTGCTAGAGGGATGTTTGTCCACCGCCGATGTGACCCTCTTCATTAAGCCACGCCCAATCTCCAAGAGCGCCCCGACGGACCTTCGGACGGCCCAAGGGAGCCCCAAGACCGATCAGGAGGGCGTCAAGATGGCCGAGAAGCCCGCTGGTGGCCGTTTTGGCTCGAGCCGTTTCAGCTCAAGCTTTTTGAGAACGCAGGCCAACTTCGTGCGAGTCTTCTGCTCTGGCCGCGCCCGCCCTCAGCCCGTGCCTGTAGTCTGTGGGCGGCTCCGCACCATGGCCGTTTCTGTCCAGAAGATCCGTCTCGTTGCCGCGCTGGTCCTCAGTCCGTGGGTGGCGTCGGCGGGCGAGTGCCCGACTGGAGCGGCCCCATTCCCGAGCGGCATGGCCAACGCTGGCACGCAGCAGTACGCCAATTTGTTCGACATCTCGTACTACGAGACGTACAAGGTGATCCACTACTCCGACACGCTGGGTACGTACAAGAGCTCACACCCCACAAAGGCCAACGAGAGAATCCCGGACATCGTTCTCTGGCAGTGCGGCACGACCAAGCCGGCCTTCGGCTCCCCAGGGATCGATGACGCGTTCGCCCGCTTTTTCGAGATCCCGATCCAGAGGGCGACGCTGCCTTTGGCCATCTCGCTGCCGCAGTTCGAGCTGCTGTCGGTTACGGAGAATCTGAGGGGCATCGCCTTCTGCCGCCCTGGTGTTGTTTGCGTGGCCACGCCTGATCGGTAGATTGGCTGGCTGATTTTCTAGTCGGTTGGCTGGCGGGCAACCCGGCTGATTGGCTTGTTGTCTAACATGAACCGTTGGATTTGACTTGGGATGTTTGCTGGCTGGCTGGTTGCGCGCACCTGTAAGAACTATTAGGGGATGGTGGCCTCGGGAGCGCGCTTCCGGTGTATTTGACGCGGGTTCGAGGCTTCGGGAGCGCGCGTGCCGGGCCATTTGCCAGGGTTCGTGGTCCGGAGCCCCGAGACGATTTCAGAGGGGGGCAGGGGGGGGGAGCGAAGAACAAACGCCCCCTCGACGCATGTCCCAACAGAGAAGATGATAGCTTTCTGCCCCTGGAGGGGGCGGCCCTCTTGGGCAGCCTCCGCGGGGTGTGTTCGTGGCCTCGGGGAGCGCAGGATGGCGATCTGCAGGGTGCTGTGGCTTCGTCGGGGGCGCTGCTTTTGGGCAGAGCCTCCGCGGGGTGGGCTCGTGGCCTCGGGAGCGCAGGACGGTGGCGATCCGAAGGGGGCTGCGGCTTCGTCGGGGGGACGCGGGCTCGTCGTAGTTTGCGAGGGGGCTGTCCCCCGGGAGCGCGAGCCTGGCGTAACTGACGAAGGCTGTGGAGGACGATCCATGGAGGGGAGGCGTATTGCCAGTCCGTTTCCAGATGTCCACAACATGCTTGAAAGCTGTTTCTAAAGTGCTGAAACATGTTTCGAACCTGTTTCGAACGCGTTCAAGGGATTATGCTGACACTTCGAATTCAATGATACAACGGGCAGAGTGTCCATTGTCATGGGATCCACAAAACTCAAGGCTGTGGCCTGGGGAGCGCGAGGCGTGGCCTTGGGGGCGCAAGTGCGGAATCATTCCTAAGTTCTTGTGGCTGTCGGGGCGCGGACTTGCCGCAACCTGCGAAGGATTGTGGTCCCCAGAGCGCGAAGCGGATGTAATTTACAGGGGGTTGTGGCTTGTGGAGCGCGAGTCTGGTGTAATTTACAAGGAGTCTGGTCTCGGGGGGAGCGATTGCGTTGTATTTTACACCGGATTGGATTTTGGAGCATATATATATATATATGGTATCTACACATGTGTATCGGATTATGGCCTCGGGGGCGCGAGTCTGACGTCTTTTGCGAGGGGTTGTGGATTGGGGGCGCGAGTCGAGCGTAGCTTGCCCTGCATAGTGGCCTCGGGGATGCGAACGCGTTGCAATTTTTTTAGGAGTGTTCGTGGCCGCGGGAGTGCAAATCTGTTGCACTTCTGCGTGTCCCAGGGCGCCCCCAGGGATCCACGGCGCGCGAGTCTGAGGTGGGAACCAGGCGGTTTTCGGGCTCGCCTCTCGCGCGGGCTTCAAGCCATGCAACGGTGGAGCTAGAATCTGGAAAATCTTCAACTATACTCATAAAACTGGCCAAAGGACGATAAGGAGGTTCGGGGTCGGTGGGTGGAACCAACGACAGAGCAACCATCGGGGCAACGATCTTCATTTATCGCACAACCTCTATCGGTCTATCCATCTAGTGGCCTTGGGTCCATCCCACCCCCGTGCCTGGGCTGTGGTTTAGAGGCCTCTTTGATACACATGAGGGTCTCTTAGGATGCCTCTCGGGGGTCTCCTGGAGGGGTCTTCGGGTCTTTTGGGGGGCCTCCTTGGGGCCTCTTGGGGCCTCCTGGGGCCTCCTGGGGGGCCTCTTGGGAGCCCACTGGGACGTCCTGGGGGACCTCGGGAATCTCTGGGGGGGCTCTTGGGGCGGAAGGCTCGAACCGTTCATTCGTGTTCCACCTTTTGGGCCCCTTTTGGGGCCCACTTGGGTGCCCCTTGGGCCGTCTTGGATGTCTCTTGGGCCGTCATGGGGCCCTCTTGGGGCGTCTTGGGGCCCTCCTCGGGGCCTCCGTGTCGCTGCCTATCTACATACCTATCGATCTCACTACCCAACTATCGATCTCACCGTGCATCTATCGATGTCGCTACTTGTACACCGGTACCACTATCCCTTATCTCATTATCAAGATTTTTGTAGATCTTTTACGTACTGGCCTCACTATATTTCTACCTGTCTTAGTGTTAATCACTCAATCCATCTGCCATCGGGACAACCATCGAGACAACCATCGGGACAACCACGGGCCAATCATCGGGACAACCATCAGGACAACCATCGGAACAGCCGTCGGGACAACCATCGGGACCACCGCGGGACAACCAGGGGACAACCGCGGGACAAACACGGGACAACCACGGGACAACCCCGGCCCCAACTCCGTCAATTGGGGGGGAGAAGCATCGTTCGCTCTGACTTTGCATTAGCAGCGGCGGGATCACTTTTCTCGCTCGCGCACGCAGCCTCGCTTCGCCCGCACGAAAGGCACGGGCGCGAAACCGAGGCCGATTAACCGGGGGGGGTCGTCTCTGTTGCACTTCGACCTCACACCCCAACCTCCGAACATGGAAGCTAGAACGGGTGCAGTGACCAGGACAGCCCAGTCCGCGCGGCCTCTTGGCTCCCAGGTGGGCCAGCGGAGATATACGCTATGGACTTCACGTACGTCTCTTCTGCGTGCGCGCAGCTGATGGAGGAGTGCGTGCCGAGCCTTCATGTCCGCAGCAGCGATGAAAACTACTCGGCGGTCGCCGCAGTGGAGCCAGGCTCCGTCGTCTTCACAGACTCTTTTGGCACGGGCTACAGCAACACTGGCTGGGACGTCGAGTACCAGAGCAGTGTTGATCCTGCGATCTTGAACCGCGCAGAATGGACTAACTTCGTTGGAGCGTTTTTCAACCTGGAAGCCCAGTCCAATGAAATATTTTCGATGATTCAGGCGGACTACTTGGCCATGAAGAGTCTGGGCTCGCAGTTGGGCTTGGACTCGAACACCGAGTGGGGTGGGCGGCAGCCTCGGGTGATCTGGGTCAGCGCCCTGGGGGACACGACGTGCGCCGGAGCCGATGACTGCGTCGACGACGGCGGCAACACCATCATCGGTTGGACGCAGCCTGGTGGCGCTGGCGGCGACTGGTGCAAATGCGGGGGCTGGCAAATCAGCACCGCTCATTACAAGAAGAATCTCGCAGAGGACGCCGGCGGGAAGCTGGTGGCTCTGCCGCAGGCCACCCCAGACGGGTGCGTGACCTCGGTGAACACGGATGGCTCGACGACGCTCGGGTGCGGCGGACAGGACGGCCTCGCGTCCTTCAGGGCCTTCCTGGCGGAGGCCGACGTCATTGTGGACGAGACCTACATCTATGGATACGACACCGCCGCCCACGACTTCGTCGGCTCCTTCTACGTGACGGCGGCGGATGTGCCGGCGCTCGCCCGTGACCCGGTCAACATCTTCCGCGTCGACGGCATCGTCAGCTAGGGGGCCACATGCGAACCCTGCCCCTGCCCCCCACGATTTCTGGGGGGCAGGGTGGGGCTCACGCCGCTCGGGAGCTCCCGTAGCCGAGTGAGCCCCACCCTCCCACTCAGAAGTCATGGGGGGCAGGGGCAGGGTTCGCATGTGGCCCCCTGTCAGCGACAGCAGGGGCGGGGCCGTCGGCAGCGCGTGGAACGACTGGGCGCAGGCAGAGCCGCAGCAGCTCCTCGCCGGCATGATGGAGATGCTCTGGGGCGACAGCTTCGAGAGCCCGTGCGGCCTCAGGTACTTCCGCCGCGCGGTCCCCGGCGAGGGCCAGGAGCAGGTGGGCCACGACGATTGCGCTTATTGGGCCCAGGTCGTCAGGGGAGGAAAAACCACCCCGAGCCCGACTGTTGGCGTTCGCTCAACGGCCCTCGGCGTTTGCTGAACGGCCCTGCCTTGTTTGATTCCTGCCTTGGGTGCGTTCGCTAAACGGCTTCGCCTGTCGGGGTGCTTCTTATGAGGGTGGATTCTTCTGCTCCCTAGGACGGCAACCACGACTGCGCCGCCATCCACGATCACCTCCACGAGGTGCGAACGTGCATGCCAGTAACGGCCAGCCCGACGGCTGTCCCTACGGCCAGCCCCACTGCAAGCCCCACGGCCAGCCCCGCGCCCAGCCCCGGCGAGGACGTTGCGAGCTCCGCGACGGCGTGCGGCATCTGGGTGGCCGCCGCGGCGTCGACGTCTGGGCTCGCCGCGGCGGCGTAGGCGAGCAGAGCGAGCGCCGGGCTTGCGGTTTCAGTCCCCTCCCTCCCTCGGTGTCCCTACCTTTCAATCGAGCCTGTCCTCCTACAGGAGGAGTTTCCCAAAATAGTCAAAAAATAGTCTGGGGACGATTTTTTGACTACTTTTGACCATTTGGAGTTTTTTTGGAGATATTTGGAATTTTTGCTCAAAAATCGGCCTGCAGGGGGACGCGGCTGACGTAACCCTACCTCGCGTCCCTCCCTCTCTCCCTTCCTCTGGCGTGTGACCTCCGCCCTTCAGCCCTGTGGGTTTGAGGCGTGCAGCTCAATCATGATGCCCAGTGGCTGTTACTAACTTCTCTTGGACGTGCGTGTCCGCGCAGAAGCTCTCGCGCGGCACGCGGCAGGGCGCGACGGGCGCCGGTGGGGTGCCTTCTGTTGAAGACGCTTCGCGTTCACCGCCCGCCCTTCCCAGTTCTCGCTGGGTGTGTCGAGGGTGGCAGAAAGCAGTGCTCAGGCGGCTCCAGACTTCCCGGGCGAGGCCCCCCGTGCCCTCCGACAGGCGGTGGGTCGGCGGGGACTCGCGCGGGGTCGCCGCGCGGTCTTGGGGCTCGGGTGTCCCTCTCCGAGGGTGTCTCGGGCGGCAGGGGCCTCCGAGGGGGACCGTGCGTTGGCGGACCGCGCGGTGAGGTCTCCTGGGGCTCCGAGGTCACCGCGCGGTTTGTCACCGCACGGTTCTGGGATCCCCCAAGACGGCGCGAGGGCCAGCGCAAGATATGGGCCCAAGGTGGCTTGGAGATGGCCCAGGAGAGGCCCGACGGGGCCCGAGAGGGCCCCGACAAGAAGGGGTCCAGAGAAGGGCCGAAGGTGGGCCCGAGGGGACCTGGCGGGCTTCTGGACGGCCCAAGCGTTAAGCCGGGGGCCTGCCCCTCCACAGGAGGAAAATTCAAAAATCGTAAAAACACAGTCTGGGGACTATCTACGAGTTTCGTCCATGTTGACTATTTTTGATTTTTCCTCCAAAGGCCAGTATCTGGGACTGTTTGGGTTTCGTTTGGGGGGCGAAGTTGGGACTAGGATTGTCGAAGATTGGTCCTGGAGCTCGTCCAGAAGCGGTGGCGAAAATTGCATGCTGACAAAATCTCCAGAGGAGCCCGAGAGTGAACTAGACGAGGGGTCCGGGCGACCCCCGTGGAGGCTAAAACCATCGATTTTCGAACGGGTTTTTGTTGTGTTTTTGAAAGTGCCACGTTGTCGACGAAATTGGGCCCAAGAGACGCTCTGGGGGGCCCGCGTGCCGACCCTGGAGACCAACAAGTGGCCCCGACGGGGCCAGCACGGAGCCGAGATGCGGCGCGAACGCTTACGGCGGCATCGGATACGGAACGTGTTCCTGGGGCCCAGAACCTGGCGCATTCCTCCCTGTTTCAGGGGGAGGCGGGTGGTCCACGTTTGCACCCCATCGGTCGCGAGCCCTGGGTTCCTGATGAGAAGGTATCCTTATCTAACGCCTCCACCGTACTGGGAACGGTCTGAACTTCGAGCTCTTCTTGGACGCCGTTTGGAAGCCATCGTTGGGACCGAAAGGGGATGGGGTGCCGCCGGGCGGCGGAGTGGCGGAGGCCTCTCGGCGGGGGGAAGGGGGGTGCGAAAGTCTTGTGTGGGGGCTCTCTCGCAGTCAAGTCTCAGGCGACCCTCAGCCCAGCGGGCGGGCGGATTCAAGAGGCTTGCGCCATTCCGCCGACTCCCACAGCAGAGAGTTCGTCAAGACTCGTGCCACCGTGCCTGGCCTGCCAGTCAGGAGCCTCGGGGATGCATGTGGGGTCTCCTGGAATACCACTTGGGACCGCCTGGAGGGCTCTTGGGGGCCTCTCGGGAGCCTCTTGGGTGCTTTTTGGGCGCCTCTTGGGGCCTCTTGGGGGCGCCTCGGGGGTCCCCGGGGAGCTGTTCGGGCCATCGCGGTGGGAAAGGCTCGAAATGTCAGGTAGCGCTGCCTCTCTTGGGCCCCTCCTGGGCCGTTGTGGGGGCCCCCGGGGCCGTTTTGGGGCCCTCTTGGGGGTCTCATGTGCGGTTTTGGGACAATCTTGGTCGTTCCTTGCGAAGTAGTGGGCGCTGTCAGGACGAAGGCGTGCATGTCGAACGTGCATCTTTTTCTGATGGAGTGGGGCGGGTTTTACCTCTTAGGGCCCTCTCGCCAGCCCTCTGGGAGCACTCCTGGGCCGCCTCGGGGACCTCGTAGGCCGTCTTGCAGCCATCTTGGACCGTCGTTGGGTCACCATAGGCTTGAGTCGAGCACGTCCCTCTACAGGAGGAAAATTAACAGATAGGCAAAAATAGTACGGGGACGTTTTTTTAAAGCATTTTTGTCATTCTTGGATAGTTTTGGACAATTTCTTATTCCAACATCTGCCTGTAGGAGGACATGCCCGACCTAACCACAGGCCGTCTTGACGCTCTCTTGGATTGTCTCTGCGCCCACTGGGCCGTCTTGGTGATCTCTGGATGCTCCCGGCAGCTCCCGCGGTGCGTCGGCGAGCCTGTGACCCCCCCCCAAGGCCTCGCCCGGGCCCCCCCCCGCGGGCTTCCCCCTGCGCCTTCCTCCCTCCCTCCCTCCCTCCCTCCCCCCTCCCTCCCTCCCTCGCCCCCTTCCTCACTCCCTCCCGCCCTGACTTGGAGGCGCCAGGTTGCGAGATGCGTGCCTGACGAACCCAACTACCTACAGGGAAGGGGGAAAGGGGGAGGGGGACAGCCAGTCATCTCACACGCCTTCACACGGCAGGTGCGGCATGCGCCGCCGGAGGTGTGCTTCTTTTTTGGAGATGGTGCCTGGCCATGTTCGCCCGGATTTGAACGGCTACCCGTCCCATTGGACGGGTGGCCTGAGGACTGGTTCTTTCGCGCGCAAAGGCGCCGGCCATACATTTTCACACAGCGCCCGGCAGGTGTGACAGGCGCCGCCAGAGGGGTGCATCTGTTTTGGGAATTAAGCCAGGCCATGTTCGCCTTGATTTGAACGGCTACCCTGCCCAATGGACGGGTGGCCCGAGGAATATGTTTTTTTCCGTTGCCCACGCCGATCGATGGGTGAGCTTGAGCATTTTGCGATGCTCGAAGGGTTGAGTAACTAGTGTACAGCATTGTTTTGTTTTCGAGGGGCATTGATGCAGACAGACATCGAATTCTCTGGAGAGTCTGAAGCCCTGGTAGGCCATGCAGCGCGCCAGTTCCAGGCTTTGGGCTCCTTGGCACGGGAGAGCGCTGGAGGTGCCCAAACCTCGTGGGAGAAATGTCTTCGCCAGCCAGATGGGACACTTCGCTGGCCAGATGGGACCCTTCCTCGGCGGACCGGCTGTTCGGCTGACCGGCTGTTGGTTGAGCCTCCCTGGGGATCCTGCGTTTTCCCAGCGATCGAGCCTTCTACCGAGCTTCCCTGGGGCTCCTGCATTTTCCCAGGGATTTGGCCTTCTATGGAGTCTCGCTTGAGCTATTGCGTTTTCGCTGTGATCGAGCCTTACATCGAGCCTCCCTGGGCCTCCGGGTTGCGTTTTCCCAGGGATCGAGTCTTGTATCAAGCCTCCCTGGAGCTCCTGCGTTTTCGCAGGGATCGAGCCTTCCATCGAGTTTCCCTGGGCTTCCCACGTTTTCCCAGGGATCGAGCCTTCCATCGAGCCTCCCTGGGCCTCGTACTTTTTGCCAGGGATCGAGCCTTCCTTTGAACCTCTCTGGGGCTCCCACGCTTTGCAAGGGATCGAGCTTCCCTGGGGCTCCTATGACTTCTCAGGGATCGGGCCGCCTATGGAGCCTCTCTGGACCTCCCACGTTTTCCCAGGGATCGAGACTCCTACCGACTCCAAGGTTGTCCAATGGATCGAGCGACCCCAGGTCTCGTTGTGTTACAGGTCCGCCCTCCTGTCGAGCTCGCCTGGGGCTCCTGCGCTTTCCCAGGGATCGCGCCGCCTACTGCCTTCTACGTTTTACACTGGATCGAGCCGCCCTTGGGTTCCCACGTTTTCCCAGGGATCAAGCCGTCCATCGAGCCTCCCAGGGTCTCCTACGTTTTCCCGGGGATTGGGGCTTCCCATGAAACCTCGCTGGGCCTGCCGACCTTTCCTAGGGTTCGGGCCCTCCCATGGAGCCTCCCTTGGGGCTCGTGCGTTTTCCCAGCCAGGCGTCGAGTCTCCTTCGGATCGAGCCTCCTTGGGCCTCCTGCGTTTGCCCAGGGATCGAGCCTCCCGTCGAGCCGCCCCATGACTCCCACGTTCTCCGAGGGAGCTGTGAAGGCCTGACGGCCCGTGCCGCCGACCCTGGAAGACATCGACGACGAAAAGGAGGGGGAAGAGGAGGAGAAGGAGGAGGAGGAGGGGGAGGAGGAGGCGGAGGTGGAGATATGGAGGAGGAGGAGGAGGAGGCGGAGGAGGAGGAGGAGGAGGTTTTCCCAGAGCCCTGAGCCGTCTACGTTTCCCCGGGGATCGAGCCTCTTATCGAGCCTCCCTGGGACTTTTACGTTTCCCGGGGGATCGAGCCTCGCTCGGGCCTCTTCTGTTTCCCTAGGGATCGAGCGTCCTATCCAGCCTTCCTGGGGCTGCTACGGTTTCTCAGGGTCAGCCCTCGAGCCTCCTTGGGCCTCCTACGTTTTCCCAGTGATCGAGCCTCTTACAGAATCCTACGTTGTATCGAGCCCCCTGTGCGGACTCGAGCCGAGCGCTCAAGCCGAGGGATCAAGCCTCCTTGTGCTTGCCGAGGGCTCAAGCCTCCAATCGAGCCTCCCTGGGGCACCCACGCTTTCCCAGCGATCGAGCCTCATACGGATTCCTACGTTTTGCACATGGATCCAGCCTCCCTGGCCTGGGACTCCTACGATTTCCCCAAGGGGACGAGCCTCCTGCTGACTCCCGAGCTTAGCAACGGAGCGGGGCTCTCTGAGCCTCCCACGTTTTCCCAGGGATCGAGACCTGTCGGATCTCCCTGGGTCTCCTACGCGTGCCGCACGAGTCGAGCCTCGTCCGGATGCCAATGTTCTAC